ACACATATGATGAGCTTCAAGTCACGTTCATTAGGGTATTTTGTTAAAGTTTATAACTTTTTGCTCATCAGGTTATCAATGAAACCATCAGGCTCGGAAATATCGTCCCTGCAATCTTCAGGAAAGTGGTCAAAGATATAGAAATCGAAGGCATGTTTAAGTCCTCCAAGCAAGTTCATCTATATTTAACAGTGAATGCATCAAATATTAATCCGAATATTAAATTGTGGGTGGTACAGGATATACAATTCCTGCAGTTTGGATCATCTTGGCTTGTACACCATCAGTCCATTTGAACTCTACGAAATACTAGGATCCACTTACATTCAATCCATGGCGATGGAAGGTAATTCGGTTGATAAACGAGACCTAACTTGAAGACAATTTGGTTCACTGTATTCGGATTTCGAAACTAATTCACAACGCACACACCAGGGACGAGAAATGAATCCAGGTTCTAAGTTCTTTATGGGGTTTGGTAGTGGCTTGAGACTTTGTGCAGGGGCAGAATTCGTAAAGCTCCAAATTGCTCTTCTTCTTCATCATTTGGTCACAAATCACAGGTAAAATGAATAATTCAAGAGACATTATTCTATATTCGATCGTTATACTCGAAATAACATCACACGAATTACAACGGCATGCGTTTAGGTGGACGGTGACGAAGGACGGAAACGCGGTCCAGCCGGACTGCTGTTTCCGGAGGGTTTCCACGTTCGAATCTTGGACAAAAATACCTATGAAGTTGCTGCTGAAGGGTGCGAGCAAACCTGGGAAAAATAAAACAGCCCCTTGTTGAAGAATAATACTAACTAAATAACAATTCTATGTCTAGGGTAACCGGATAAATTATTAGATGGTACCCAGTTCACCACGTCTTCCATGGCCTCAATCGATAATATTTGTCCATATATATATTTTTTTCAACTTGAATCTTTATCTTTTTCCTACATGTAAATAAGAAGTGAATAATTATTTAGAAATTATTTTAAAATTTATGACTCTAATTCACTGGAATCACGGATGACTTGGTGAGTTGGATCATAAATCCTTTATTGTATAATGAAGTTGCACTTATATGTAGTCCAATACCTTCTCTTGGCATGGGCACAATGCCAATGCTTGTGCACTTGCCATCATAATTTACAATGCCACCATATGATAATTACTATGAGGTCAAATAAATTCAATAGAAAAAGCATAATAATCTAAGTTAAATTATGTGTTTAGTACATAAATTATCAATTTTGATCCGTTTTAGTATTAATTTTTTAATTTTTTTAAAACAATATTTAAAATCTAGTTTTTGTTTCATTTTAGTACATATGTTCAAAATTTAACATCAATTTTTGAATTTTTTTTTTGAAAGTTTAGGTACTAAAACAAATCAAAATTGATAGTTTAAATACTAGATACGTTAAGTTTTTAACTTTGAGGTACTAAAATGAAACAAAAGTTAAACATTGAGTATGGTTTTGAAAAAATTGAACGTTTAATTACTAAAACAGACCAAAAACTGATAGTTTAAATACTAAATGTTATAATCTAAGTTAATGTTAATATTCTTTTTCAAGCGGTTATTTTAATAGATCCAATTATCATAGAATTTATTTGATTGATAAATCAAATTATTACTATCACAAAAAATGAAAATAATAATATTTATTATTCGTTTATACACAATAATCATTGAAGTCGAATAAATAAGATCGTTATAATTTAATTTATCTGGATGATAAATCTATTAATTTCACCTGTAATAGAGAGAAATTCTTTAAACATTTAAGACCGAGTTATTTCAAGTTCTCTATCCCGTGTTATATGTCTACAAAAACAATCATTTAAGTTGAATAAATAAAACAAATAAGATCATTATAATTTTGTTTGGTGATAACATGATCTAACATTTTCACTCAGTAACAAAGAGAACTTTCTAAAGCGAACTCCGGTTATTACAACAGATCCATTTATTTTTAGAACTCTTTCGATTGATAGATTAAATTATTGATGTTACAGTAAACAACAACAATATTTATCAGTACAATTTCACATGTACATTTTAATTTTCATAACACGTGTTAGATATAGGTAAACAACAATCATTGAGGTCGAATAAATACAATAAATAAGATCGTTATAGTTTGACTTGATGATAACGTGATCTAACATTTTCACTCAGTAACAAAAATAACTTTCTCAAGCGTAGGAACTCCAGTTATTACAATAGATCCAATCATTTTAGAATTCTTTCGATTGATAAATCAAATCATTGACGTCACAATAAACGACAACAATATTTATCATATAGTTTTACATATACATTTCAATTTCATAACACGTGTTTCATGTCTATAAATAACAATCATTGAGGTCGAATAAATACAATAAATATTATCGTTATAGTTTGACTTGATAATAACATGATCTAACGTTTTCACTCAGTAACAAAAATAACTTTGTCAAGTATGTGAACTCCATTTATTACAACAGATCCAATCATTTTAGAATTCTTTCGATTGATAGATTAAATTATTGATGTCACATTAAACGACAACAATATTTATCAGTATAGTTTCACATGTACATTTCAATTTTCATAACACGTGTTAGATGTATGTAAACAACAATCATTGAGTCGAATAAATACAATAATAAGATCGTTATAGTTTGATTTGATAATAACATGATCTAACATTTTCACTCAATAACAAAAATAACTTTTCAAGCGCGTGAACTCCATTTATTACAACAGATCCAATCATTTTAGAATTTTTTGATTGATAAATTAAATTATTGATGTCATAGTAAACGACAACAATATTTATCAGTATAGTTTCTCATGTACATTTCAATTTTCATAACACGTGTTACATGTCTATAAACAACAATCATTGAGGTCGAATAAATACAATAAATAAGATCGTTATAATTTGACTAGATAGTGACATGATCTAACGTTTTCACACAGTAACAAAGAGAGCTTTTTCAAGCGCGTTAGTCCCAGATATTTCGGTATATCCAATCATCTTATAATTATTCTGATTGATAAATCAAACCATTGATGTTATAATAAACGATATTATTATTATTATAATAATTCCATACGTTTATTTTAATTTTCGTGACACGTATTATATGTCTAAAATTAAAATTATTTTAAAATGATAAATCGAATTATTATTATCAATGATAAAATATGGTAATATTCATTATTAGAACCCATATTATCATTTAAGTTATAATAAAACATGTTATGTGTTATAGAGTGTCATTATATTTGATATAATCAGAATATCTGTAAAATTGAAAGGAAAAAAAAACCGTCCAAGCAAAAGGACAAAAAGAATAGAGTTGGCGTTCAAATCTGGTTAGAACAGAGACTGCCGTTACACAATTAAGGTATCTTACCATAACACAAGGTCCACGCTCACGTGTGGCCCCAGGCCCACGTCAGCTAACTTTAAATTACTCATTTAGCCCATAACATCCGGGACCGGATGAAATTCTCGTGCGAAAACGGTAAAATCACCTTTTTAAGTAACGCTCGACGTCCGCCAGAACACACGCGACCTAGTTCAACGAGTGGGAAAAGAGAGGGCGGACATCCTGAGCGTTGGTCTTGGTGGTTGTGGGGCCCACAAAACACTGTAGTAAAAGGAAAAGAAAGGGGAAAGCTCACGATTTTCTGCTATATATCCAGACCAGTTCTTCTTCATTTTCATAACTCTCTCGAAGAAAAAAAAGTTCGATATTTTATAGTATTACATAAGCTACTTCTGTTCTTTCCTTTTGACTCTCTGCAACAGATCCCGACGTTTTAAAGGTAAAGGGAAAGGGAAATTTCCGAGGATCTGAATTCCATGTAATCTTTTACTCTGTTGAAAAACACACAGACCTTGGCTTGCTGCTAAGAATGTTTTTTTAAAGAGATAAAGCTAACATTTTTATTTTCATTTTAATCTCTGTACTGACTTTGGGTTCTTGTTCGTGTGCATTACAGCCTGCTGCTGTCTATACCGGCATTCCGAAAGGGTGAGAGAGAACGTCAACTGGGTATTATTTTTCATTGGCTTTGATTTCTTTTTAATGCTTTAGTTTCATTACACCTTCATCATGGTTTCAGGTGCCGTTAATGATACAGGATTCGAGTCGCGTGAATGGCAAAGTGATTAGCTTTGCCTTTTCGTGTTCTTTGCTTCTTCTTTTTTTCTCTTTTTGGTTTTCTGGGGTCGTTTTCATTTTTCTGTCAGACATATCGACAAACAGTTGGTCAAGCCAGCTACCGGGAAATTTTAGGGTTTTTTGTTGTTGATGTTAGGCATGTCTTCTGGTGTTTTTCAGCGATTTTACCAGGTGGGGTTTAGCTAGAAATGGATCAAGCGAAGGTATGAGTGTAAAGTGCGAAGTGTGAGCTTATTTGGTTTTTTAAAAAAATTAAAAAAGTGGACCTTTTTTGTCTTGTTCCGCTTCAGTTTTCTTATTTTCTCTCTCTTACGTTCTTTAGAGATAAAACAGAAAACGTCTTCTAGAAACAGATAGATACCTTGCACTTGCAGTCATGCATGGGCGTTAACGAGGAGAGGCGTTTTTTTTTCTTTCACCATTAGAGGAGATGGAGTTGTTCAAAAAAGGTTTAAACTTTATGGAAAAAAAGAAAAACGAAAGTGGAGATTTTCATTCTTGGGTGTGTGTTTTTTCTTCTTCCAGATTTAACTATTTTTGGGGTTTGATCAAGGATAGCTGTGGCTGATATCGTTCAGCAACATGCTAAATGGTGATGATGCCCTTGTTATTCCCTTCACTAAGCAAAGCTTCCCTTTGTACTAGCTTCTCTCTCTCTCTGTCTCTCTCTCTCTCCATGCATTGTTCTTTATTTATTTTATCACGTACTTTATTATTGTTTGTGTTTATCTTTTGCTTCGTGACTTTGTGTTTGTTATTATTATTTATTTAAGACAAGTCGTTCAATTTAGAAGGACTTGGTTTTGGTGCAGAGAACAATGGATCAGTTGGGGGAAAACTTGGATCCCAATCTAGTTGGGAGGACGAGGGAAGATGAAAATGACAGTAGGTCCGGAAGTGATAACATGGAGAATGCTTCCGGTGATGATCAGGATGCTGCTGCTCCTTCTAATGGAAGCCGGCCGAAGAAGTACCATAGGCACACTCCACACCAAATCCAAGAGCTTGAATCGTATGGTTGCTTTATCTTTCTCTTCTTTGACTCAATCTTTTTATTTGTTGTTGAACTTTACATCTTTGCGTTTCTTGTGTTTGTTATGTAGTTTCTTCAAGGATTGTCCTCACCCTGATGAGAAGCAAAGGCTGGAACTTAGCAGGAGGTTAGGCCTGGAGATCAAGCAGATCAAGTTTTGGTTCCAGAACAGGAGAACCCAAATGAAGGTCAGTTTATGATAATTGATGAACCTTTTGGTTTTGTTGGTCTTGATGTGGTTGTGTTCTAATCTTCAGTTTGAGATGGCTAATGATGGTGATTTGTCGTTTAAACTAGACCCAATTGGAGCGCCATGAGAATGTGATCCTTAGACAGGAGTGTGATAAACTCCGAGCCGAGAATGATTACTTGAAGCATGCCATGGCTAACCCGGTATGCAGCAATTGCGGTGGTCCAGCTGTTCCTGGTGAAATATCTTATGATCAGCACCAACTTCAGATGGAGAATGCTCGATTGAGAGAAGAACTAGACCGGGTTTTTGCTTTAACGAGCAATTTCTGGGACTGCCCTTCCTCGTCCTCGGCCGGTCCTATTCCTTCCCAAGGCTTAAACAACAATGTGGAGCTTGGAGTGAGGAGAAATGGTCTTGGAGGCTTGAACAATGCAGGAGGCTCCTCATCGCCAATGGAATTTAACTTTGGTGATGGAGCTATGTTGCCGAGACCTATGGCCAATGACATGCCATATGACAGGTCAGCTGTGGTAGATATTGCTTTGGGGGCTTTGGGTGAATTGATTAAATTGGCACAGGTTGATAGTCCATTTTGGATCAAAGGCTCGGATGGTTCTTTGGAAACATTGAATCTTGAGCAGTATAGTAGAGCTTTCCCCTCTTTCATTGGAATGAAACCAACTGGCTACCAAACTGAGGCCACAAGGGCAACTGGCCTGGTTTCCTTGCGTGGTTCGGCTCTCGTTGAGGCAGTAATGGATGCGGTATGCTGCTCGATCACTCGTTGCCGTTATGATCGACCAAATCTTTAATAAAGTAACATTGTTTGAAAATTGTTGTTTGACATTATTTTTATGCTACTTTATGAATAGAATCGTTGGGTAGAAATGTTTCCCTGCTTGGTTTATAAAGCAGCAACCATCGATGTGCTATCCACCGGTACAGGTGTAACCAGAGACAATGCATTGCAAGTGGTATGTTTTTTTTCTTTTCTACCATCTATATTTGTTTCTTTTCACCACTTAGCCTGGCCTAATGAAAATCATACTTTGCAGATGGATGCTGAATTTCATGTGCTTTCTCCACTGGCTCCTGCCCGTCGACAGAGATTCATCCGGTTCTGCAAACAGCATTCGGAGGGTGTGTGGATTATGGTTGATGTTTCAATTGACACCACTCGTGATGCCGCAGATAAGTATGCGTTTCTCAACTGCAGGAGGCTCCCTTCTGGCTTTGTCATCCAGGATCTGGACAACAAGTACTCCAAAGTAATTGCCAATCTTAATTTTATAACGTTCTCTACTCTACATTTTGATTCTTATTAAGCTTGCATAGTACTTGATTTTCTCCTAATATGCATTCAATGAGGATCATATGATGATCTTTTTAAGTTGTCGTAACGCATATGTGCTTTTATGACCTTTTAAGAAGTGAATTAGGATCATATGATGACCTTTTTAAGTTGTCGTAACGCTTATGTGCTTTTATGATCTTTTAATAAGTGAATTAGGATCATATGATGATCTGTTTAAGTTGTCGTAACGTTTGTGTGCTTTAATTGATCTTTTAAGAAGTCTGTTAGGATCATACGATGATTTTTCTAAGTTGTCGTAAAGCTTATGTGCTTTTATGATCTTTTAAGAAGTTATTCGGTTTGATATTTATTGCAAGTGAGCATGCTTACGGATCGTTTAATTGCAGATTACTTGGATCGAGCACTCGGAATACGATGAAAGCGCAGTTCACCATCTCTTGAGGTCATCACTCAATGCCGGTGTAGGCTTTGGTGCACACAGGTGGATTGCTACTCTTCAAAGGCAAAGTGAATGCTTGGCAGTCCTAATGTCGGCTGACATTCCTAGTGAAGATAATATAGGTATTTTTCCCCCCAACTGCTACATTATTCTTTCATCTTTGATGATTAAACGTTGAATGTACCTCATCTAATACATGATATTTTTGCTATAGGAATAACTTCGGCCGGACGGAAAAGCATGTTGAAGCTTGCGCAACGCCTGACACGTATGTTCTGTGAGGGAGTTTGTGTTTCGAGCGGGACTAAATGGGAAAAGGTTACTATTGGTGTTGTGGATGAAGATATGAGAGTAATGAGCCGGACTAATGCAAACGATCCCGGTGAACCTTTTGGTGTTCTGCTGTGTGCTGCTACTTCTATTTGGTTGCCGGAAACACAGAAAAGGTTGTATGATTTCTTAAGGGATGAACGGCAGCGGATTCAGTGGGACATTCTGTCCAACACTGGTCCAATGAATGAGATGCTCAAAGTTTCCAAGGGACCGGGTGTAGGTAACGCGGTCTCTCTGCTTTGTGGCGGTGTAAGTATTCTTCTCCTACACACGTTAGGCCTTAAACTGCATGTTTCTTAGATTTTCTCATCCAATATTTTAAGCTATGTCACAGCCCATGACCTCGAACGAGAACGCAATGCTAATTTTACAAGAGTCATGGTCCGATGCCTCTGGTGCATTGGTACTTTACGCTCCCGTCGATGTATCATCGATGAGAACAGTGATGAACGGTGGCGATTCAGCATATGTGGCACTCTTACCATCAGGATTCGCAATCCTTCCCTGTATTTCACCTACTTACCGTACTGGACAAGGCAACTCCAGTGGACATGTGGTGAACTCCAACATGGATGGCAGTATAAACAGCAACGGATGCATACTCACAGTTGGATTTCAGATTCTGGTGAATAGTCTTCCTACTGCTAAGCTATCATCGGACTCGGTCGAAACCGTTAACAATGTCGTCGTCTGCACCATGAAGAAAGTCAAAGCTGCACTTATGGTAATAAAATAACTGGATCCAGCTCGATAAGGTGCCTTGATAACCAAGTAACTTATTATTATATAAAGTATAGGAGATACAGATAGAATGGGAATGGAATGGGGCTCGAGAAGAAGGGCTTCTAGTCAAGAGCGAACCGACTTCTTGTGGAGTTCCGGTTCGGGCATTGACTTGGACGAACTCTGAGATACTCGGTTCGTGTCTCTCACAGTTGGTATGTTTCTTTTACTGTTTTTTTTCCCGAGTTAGAGCGAAGCTGATAGATAAAACACAGGATAGACATGGCAATGCCGGTCTTAGTTTCCGTGTTCCGTTTGTAATAAAACCATGGACAAGCTGTATCTTGCATGTACGTTGGTCTCGGTTTCGTTTTGTTTGTGTTTTGGTTTAATCTGAATAGACCTTGGAACAACTTGTCTTCTGTTTTTCCAATGTCTTATGTTTTTGTTTAATCTTGCTGCTTGATGAATCTCGATCATGTGATTTGTTGAGTCCACGATTATAGGGTGTTGTTTTGTTGAGTCATTTGAATATTAAAAGTTACAAAATGGTCACTCGACTATTCATTATGTTTCAAACTCGTTATTTTCCGTTAAAAAATTGACGGCCGTCTGGGCTGAATGTTAATACTTAAAATTTTTCTTAATAAATCCATTTGATTTATTAAAAGAAAAAATTATTACAAAAAGACTAAGCAAAGGGTCCATCTAGAGACAAAATTAAAAATAACAATGTTTTATTAAGAAAGCACATTTAAGAACAAGTATCAGTATACAAAATGTACTAGAAAAGGGGTTGTTTAATATCATCCCAAGACTTGAACATAAGTCTTTTATTAAACCGTTTTCTTACGTGGTACTATTTATTATTGTAAAATACTCCTTTAGTACTTAAATTATCAGTTTTGATTTATTTTAGTATATAAATTTTTATTTTTTCAAAATCATACTTAAACTTTAGTTTTTGTTTCATTTTAGTACTCGTTTGAAATTTAACATTAAGTTTTGAGAAAAAATGAAAGTTTAGATACTAAACGCATTAAGTTTTTAACGACAATATACTAAAATGAAACGAAAATTAAACGTTAGGTATGATTTTAAAAATTAAAAGTTTAAGTACTATAACGGATTAACACTGATAGTTTATGTACTAAACGTAGTTTACACTTGTTATTATTACTACTATAATTATTATTTTAAAGGGTGAATTGCGTGTTTACTACCTAAATTATCAACTTTGATTCATTTTAGTACCTGAACTTTCAATTTTTTAGAACTATACTTAAAGTTTAGTTTTTATTTTATTTTTGTACTCCGCTGTTAAAATGAACAAAAACTGATAGTTTAGATATTAAAACCATTAAGTTTTTAACGACGGGTACTAAAATAAAAGGAAACTAAATTTTAGGTATGGTTTTGAAATAATCGAAAGTTTAAGTATTATAACGAATCAAATAGTTTATTTACTAATGTGCAATTTGCTCTATTTTAAATAACGAAGTAATATTATGTTAATATTCCTTGAGTGTTGCTTTCATAACCGGTGTAGCGCCGTTTGGATCAATCTCAACCGTTGCCACATATTTGAACTTATGCACAGTATCAGGTTTGGAACAAGATGACTTCAGCTGCGATTCAATCGCGGACCAGTCAACTTTTTCGTCACCTCGAATGATATCAACATAGGCCTGTGATCGGTAGAGATTTATCGATCAATAAATCAAATACAGACGAATTTAATACGATAAATATAACGAAAAGAAACAATATCGTACCTTGTTGCTTTCATCATTCATGTTGCGCCATGCAACAACCAACTTGATATTGCCTTTGAAAGAATACGCAACCCCGCCTTGGGAGTCTCCGGTGAAGGGACAGGAGTCGTGCTTGACTTTTCCGAGCATTCTTGCTTGGATAACCACCGGGGGATCTCCGGACCCGTACCAGTTGATACGGTCGAACATGGTGAGAGCATCGTTAATCCTGTTTTGAAGAGTGATGTCTGTGTAAAATTTAGGATCCGGGTTACAAGCTGCATCAACAGCCATTTATATTTCAAAATACCTGAAGCTATTGGTTTGATTGTGTTGTGCTGAGGCACCCTTATATATATATATACTATTCTACAAAGACGGACAGGGCTGAAATTAAACTTTTAAAATTTTAAAGGATAAATTTAAATTTATAAAAAATAATTAAGAATATATAATAGTTTCACGTCCCCTCAATCCATCCTGCCAGATTGCAACCATAGGAGGACAATAGGTTGCTATAGATTTTTATTTTTTTAATACTTATAAACAGCCTGAATTTTATATTAAAAACTGCATAAATATATGGGTAAAATACACCCTGCACTTATTCAATTATGTGTTCGATAATAAATAGTTCATTTTTTTCTCTAAACGTTATAATTCAGTCCCTCAATTAATATTTTTATAAACAGATCATTAATCGTTAAAATTGAAACGAACCTCTAATGTAGTTGGCATAACAATGCTTTTAGTCTCGAAACTTATGCATTTCTATCGATTTGGTCCTAATTCGAAATAATTCAATAAATTTAATCATTCGTAAAAACTATCAATCTAGTCTCTCTCTCTCTCTTTTTGCAATATTATCAAATTGAGTGAGTCAATCGGATCAAAACAACAATCAAATAATTGCATTGTCATAAATAAATAACATGTTACTATTAAACTGTTATTGTAACAAAAAAAATAATATAAAATTTATAGGAGAAGAACAAGCAATTTAGAAGGGAAAAAAAGACTAAAATGATGAATATCCTTTATACGAAGGATATTCATCATGACTAAATTATGACTAAATTGATAGAATATATAAATTATGGGGACCAAAACTATTATTATATTAGATCATGTTATCATTCCATATATTTAACAAACAATAATTTGTTTATAAAAATATTTTAATCATTTGATTAAATTGTAATATTTAAAAACAAGTGACTTGTTTGTGACCGAACTTGTAATTGAGTAGGCTTAAGTATATTTTTCCCATATATATTTATTTTATAGGGAAATTAAGTACATGTTGACATTAAATTTTCTCAATAGTTGACTTTAATTTAATTACTTTTAATTATATTGCAAGTGTTAATGTCTGGATATTAGCTTCTTGTCACATGTATGACATGTTGATTTTATTATTTAACTAGCACTAATTGCCCACTAATATAGTGGATTTTAAATTTAACTTTAATAACTTTTATTAATTGATGCACGAACTAAATTATTTCGATAGTTAACAAAATTATTGTTATTTATAAAGGTCTTAGGTTTAAGCATACAGATTGTGGAGTATTTGAGTATTTATTATCCAATGATTGAGAGTTATACATAAAATATCTAGAGTAAATTATGCGTTTAGTAGCTAAACTGTTAATTTTGGTCCGTTTTAGTATTTAAACTTTTAATTTTTTAAAATCATATATGATGTTTAGCTTTTGTTTTATTTTAGTACCTCATCGTTAAAAACATAATGACACATTTTTTATGGGTAAATTACATCATTCATCCTCAACTATCTTCTCACTCCTATTTTGATACTAAAGTTTAAGAATTTTCAATTTAACTACTCAGCTTTCAAATTGTTCCTATTTTAATCACTCTCGTTTATTTTATTAATAACTTTTCTGATAAGATTTTGTTTATTTTATTAATATATAATTAAAAATAAAAAATAAATTTGAAAGTTAAAGTGATTAAATTATGAATAATTTGAAAATTAAGTAATTAAATTTAAAATTTAAACTTGAGTAACCAAAATAGGAGTGAGAAAATAGTAAATGATGACTGATGCAATTACCCATAAAAAAGTGTCACGTTCAAATCACTCGTAAAATTTTTAACATGATGTAGTAAAACAAAACAAAAATTAAATGTTTGATATGATAATTTACTTATTAAACGCATAATCTACCAAAATATCTTTTATTTAAAAATTATACATTTTAATTAATATCATATCGGAAAATTGATTCTATTACCATCTTATCAATCTTATCACGAGATTTTATCAAATTAAAGTTGATTTTCAATGGGTAGTTAGCATCCTAATTCAATGGTAAGAAATGTACGTGATTGAAAATATTATAAAATTATAATATTTTTTTTGGATGATTATTTAATATGTTAATCTTTTAATTAACCAAATATATTATACAGAATATAATATTTTTGGTTTTTAATAAAAAAATGTTATAAAAAAATATTTTCAACCGAAAAATGTTGAGAAAAAAATTAACATTTTAAATTTCTCTTAATCAATAATTTTATAAATTTTATAATATTTTCGATAATTTTTTTTTAACTTTAAATTAAATTGTCTCTCCTTATAGTACTCATTTTCAATTGGATACCTTACCTACTACTCTCTTTTTGCGGTGATGGAAATATAGAGACATGCTACAGTCCTTCACCGAGGCCACGTTAAGTGGACGTCTTTCTTTATGTCTACTTGAAGATAATTGGTATAAAATTTTTGGTGTCAAATTAGGCGTAGCTAGGTGGACTCAATTGTGACAATGATGATGTTTCATGACTGGAAAAAAAATTTACCACTAAGGTAACCCAATAGGTTGCACTTTAATAATTTTAACATTGTATATTGCCCGATAAAGACAGGTTAAACAGTGGATTAGCACTATTAATTTACCTTAACAAAGGCAATGTGTTTTGATATTTTCTCAACTTCTTCTACCCACTTCATATAAAAACATTTAGGATAAGTCAATTATGGATGATTTTGATTTGATCACTCATCTGTTGATGCAATCAACCAAATTATTTAACTATTTAAAAATATTAATCAAATCATCTATCATTGATTAATATTCATCAGAGAAACTGACGTGATGGTTAACAAAATATAGACAATCACAAATCAATAAATCATCAATCAAATATAAAAAATAATAAAAACAAGGCAAAAAAACATTAGAGGTCTCTATACTTTCAAAAAAATAATATAATTCTCGTATTATTTTTTTTTCAATGTGACCCTCCAACTCATAAAATAAACTCAATATGACTTTTTGACCAATATTTTTTCGTCGTTGATGGTGTTGAAGTGATAGTTCACGATGATGACGTGATAATCCGCAATACTAACGTAATAGTTCACGACACCGTCAACTCCTACCTTTGGCCATTATAATGCCGCTGCACGCGTCTCACATCCAAGCTGCGGTTTACTGTTGCAGAAAACTTGGGCTGCAAGTCAGAACTCGAAGTGGGGTCATGACTACGAGGGTCTTTCTTATACGACGGCTTATAAGGTTCCGTTAGTGGTGTTCGATTTGGTGAATCTTTGATCGGTTCACGTTAACCTTTTGATGAAGCTACAGCTTGGGTTGAGTCTGGTGCAACTATTGGTGAATTGTACTATGAGATTTTTCAGAAAAAGTAGAACTCTTGCCTTTCCGGCTGGTATCGCCCACACCATCGGTCTTGGTGGACATTTGAGTGGAGGTGGCTACGGTTCATTGCATCGAACATACGGTCTCACCGCCGAGAATGTTCTCGACGCTCGTTTGATTGATGTTAAAGGAAGAATTCTTGATCGGAAATCTATGGGAGAGAATTTGTTTTAGGCCATTCGAGGATGTGGCATGGTAAGTTTTGGGATCGTCCTTGCTTGGAAACTGAAATTAGTCCTGGTTCCAGCTAATGTTACGGCCTGTAGAGTCACCAAGACGTTAGAGTAAAACGCCACCAAACTTGTCCATCGGTGGCAATATATTACGCACAAACTTCCCAAAAATATACACGCCAGCATTATCATATCAAGGGTGAATTCAAGTGAAGATGAGAAGACGAAGTAGCTTTCAGTTACGTATTTCTTGGAAGCATCGATGAGCTTCTTCCATTGCTGGAAGAGAAATTCCCTGAACTTGGATTAGTGAACGAAGATTGCTTAGAAATGAGTTGGGTTGAATCCATCTTTACTTGACCTGGTTTCCAATCAGAGCTCCACTGGAAACTCACTTAATAGGAGTTCAGAATCAGCTCTTTCGAAATTGTTCTTCAAAGCAAAATCCGACTTCGTAAACAGCCTATTCCAGCACTGCGTTCGAAGGATTGTGGTCCAAGTTTTACGACGATGAAGCCGAATCATTTATGACATTGTGGCATACGGTGGGGAAATGGATGATATTCCTGAGACTGAAACTCCATTTCCTCACAAAGTTGGTAACCTCTACAGAATCATGTACGTGGTGAATTGGGAGGAAGAAGAAGATAAAAACTCTGAAAAGTTCATGGGTTGGATGAGGAGGGTTTACAATTACATGACACCATATGTTTTGGAATCTCCACGAGGAGCTTACGTAAATTACAAAGAGCTTGAGATCGGAGCTAGTGAAATTAGCGACGACAACATCAGCTACGAAAAAGCCAAGATTTGGGGTCTGAAATATTTTAAAAACAATTTCAACAGGCTGGTGCATGTAAAGACAACAGTTGATCCTGAAAACTTCTTCAAGCATGAACAAAGCATCCCTCCACTTCCTCATTTGTTGAAGAAAGGATCAAACTGGAGTTTGTAAGATCAGATATAGTTTCTTTGGCAAGTTTTCTATTGATGATTTATGAGTTATTGTGATAGTTACCATAGTTTTTGGGCAAGTTCCTTTATCTAAACCCAAAATCGGCTAACCAATGATGGGTACTGTTTTACCAATGAAACAAAATGGAAGTCTGAGTCTAAGAAATAACAATGAGCTACTGTGTTTACTATAGTAGTTTCAGTCAATTCATGCGCTCTTCAAGGGTCAGTCACTTAACAGGCAGTACATACAATCCTTAAATGCTAAAAGGGGAGACCTGGTAGAGGATTGCTAGTTAAAGATCATGGCCATCAACGGATTGAAGGGTAAAATGATGCAGAATGGAGTGGCTGTATAACTGACAAAAGATTAATTACTTCAGGCTAGCGTACATATATGTGGGGGTAAATTTAGTAACTCGATTAAGTAAAAACGTGTCGTGGTTCGGAGTAGCACAGAAGCTTGATTTAGAAAAAAAAACCTCTAGGAATATGTAAGTTGTTATGGTTTGAGAAATTAGTCAGACCTAAAGGCTTTAAACTCTCCACCCATGAGGTTTTACTGCAACAACGAAGCTTCTATCAGAATAGCACTTCATCAAGGCAAGCACTACCCTATCTGTTAGTCTCTTTGTGATAGGTTTGTTACGGTTTCGATGAAAATTTAAGCCACATGATAGGTACATTATACCTATCATAATATCCAAAGCACAAGCACTCTTCTAAGAACCCAATCTAATTCCTCAGCAGAAGCCTGCTAAAGTTTCTCGGGGGTGAGCTACTATTGTATTTACCAAGTTTTTTATCAGACTTGGTTTTTGGAGTGTAGATTCTTTTTTTTAGTGTTCAGGATCAGACAACTGACTTGAGCTATGCTGCAAATTGACACTCTTTCAGTATTTCCTAAAACATAAAAATAATAATATCGAACATATATACGGTTCTCAAAAGTCCAAGTGACAGGCTTTTGAGCATCGAAACTATTCAGAGTATTCATGGATGAAACAGGAATTGATGACTGAGAGAAGACTTCTAAGTATTATTTAGGACGAACAGAAAGCTGAAATATCATACATCATAAAAATACAGAGTTCCATCACCATAGATACGCATACTAAAGAACATACACATTACCTTAATTAAATTTCATAACCACTAAGTTGAATAGGCTCCACAACAATTCATGAAAGCAAGTTGCAATAATCCTAATTCTTTCTAGTTTCAGACTACACAATGTGATTATATATACCTTCAATTGAATTTTAAGTCCGGCCGAAATTTGCTAAAAAACAAGGGACATGCACTACAAATTACAAAACCAACAACAGCTAGACATCATGGGACTAAAGAAGAACTAAAGCTACCAGCTAACAGGCAATATGTATTAAGCAATTTTTGCAGATACAGAACATACCAGGTATTTTTTGTCACTCAAGATTGGTGTGGCGAGCTCGAATAGCCTCAGGGCTCTCTCCCAAAGCCTCACCCAGTTCATACACCACCATCTCAAACAATAAAAACTTTATTACGAATTATCTAAATAAAATAATTAATTATTAATATAAAAACCCAATCCTTTTAAAGTACGATTATAATAACAAAAAATTTAAATAAAGTCTTTCGTTGATATTAAGGCTCCGTTTGGTTCAGGGTATAATTCATTTCTGGGAAGAATGTTTTTTCCCGGATGAATATACCCACGTTTGGATGGGGGCATATTACCGAGTGCCCGTGAAAAAATAATACTAAAGGTAATTTTTTTACTGTTTTCCCGGGAATGTCTATCACTCATCTCCCTTATGTATTTCTTATTCCCGTCCCCTTGTCTAAAATAGCCTTCTCCCTTCTCGTTGTGGTTGCCTTCCTTCGCTGCTCCCCTGAAAAGTTGATTCTCTGAAAGCTGAAGATCAAGCAAGGATGAGTTTACATATCTACTTTTCCTTTGTTTAATCTTCAATTTCTTTGATGTTTTTTCTCTGTTTCATACTTGGAAATTTTAAGGAAAACGTAATCTTTGATGTTTCTTCTCTGTTTTCCCAAACTCCCCTCACTCTGCACTGTACCAATACTGTAACATCCTCAATACCGGGTTAGTGACTAAATTGTAAGGTTTCAAAATTTGGTGATTTAAATTAGAATAATTGAGTGGTTTAAAGACTTATATGAGAAATGAGGTGTAAGATCAAATTGAAAAGAATGAGGAATGAAAGGATAGTATGGTCATTTGCAAAGAAAAAAAATATAATAATAATATATGGTATATATAGATACACGTGGAAGGAAGGAAACAAAGTTTAGAGGTTTCCAGAGTTCTCTTTTTTTTCTTCTTCTTCTTCACGTGTGAAGCCAAGCAAATGTGAGTTTTCTCTTGAGCTGATTATGTGCTGAAATTTAAGTTTAGTTTTGATTATTAGATGCTAAGTAAGATTAAGGAAAGATTAATTTGCTTTAAAATAACAAGATGAAGAGTTTATGAGGATTTAAAGATTTGGAGTTTTTGAATGAAATATCGAAATAAAGTTTATATTGAGATTTGGAAGTTGAATTTGACTTGTCCCTAACTTGATTAAGGGATATAAAGGGTTAGAATCAGAATTATATCATATGGGAATTTGAGTGAAATTCTTAAATTCTATGTGGAGGAATGGATTTTGAAGTGTAAGAGTTGAATGGGCATTAATTAGTTTAAATAAGTGTATAAGAGTTAAGACATGAAAGGCGATGAAATATGAAGCATTTGAGTTGTTTTGAGTAGATTTTCGGGATTTAAAATGAATTTTGAGCTATGTGCATCGATGCACATTCAAGGTGCACCGATGCATCAAGGGTAAATCTCTAGAAATTGTTCAGTGTGTATCGATGCACAGGAAGTGCATCGATGCACCTATTAAAATGGAAACATCGAATGCAATTGGTGCATCGATGCATAAGGAGTGCATCGATCCATCCCCGCACATGCTAAAGAATGCATCGATGCACTGTTGAATGCATCGATGCACTTCAAGAGAAATATAAATAAACCTTTCATTTGGTCTAAGAAATGATAGATTAGAGTATATTAATTGGATACTGATAGTATCAATGTATTATTACGTAGATATTGAACGTGACTTTGCTTCAAAGTAATCGAAGGGTTAGAATTGGTTCAATTCAAACAAGGCTAAGGTGAGTGCATGTGCATAACATGATCATGTTAGTATATTCAGTTCTAGACTTGCGATAAGTCTAGATTTAATATCTTGATACATGATTCATTCAATATTATTAAATATGATATGAATTCATACCATATGCATTATGGGATATACTATGCAGATTGTGGTAAGTCTATTTTCCAGATTAGAGCTTATATATGAATATGTGTCATATGGGATTGAATGAGTTACGAGATATCTATATTAGGTATATGAAGTGTGTGTGCTGTGTTTGTTATGGTTTATATTATGAATAAGCATATGTATTGACATGTTACAGTATATATATATTATATGAGTTGTGTAAATAGGTAGATAAATGTGTTAAATATGTGAAATAGTTAAAATGATCAATATGATTTCATAAGAATATGAAATAAGAAGTATGGAAAGGACATAAGAAATAATATGAAATATAGCATATGATATGAAATCATATGAGGGGACATGAATTATATGAAAAAATAAACTACGTGATTACAAATATATGAAAATACTAGTGTGATGGGACCTAGGAACTAGTATACGTGATATATATATATATACATTTATATAAGTTATTGGATGAAAAAATGAACAGAGATAAAGAGATGAATGATAATACTAGGAGTATGATAAAAACATAAATGATGACATGTATGTAATGGTTATATGAAAAGGTATATGTAATAATGATCATATGAACATGTGATAAAGAGCTATAGAAAAAAATGTGATATGATGTGTGAATATGTAATAAGGTAAAGACAATGCCATGATATGAGTTATGAGAACTGTAAGTATAGTTGGTATGCCAAGAGTCAAAGACTACCTATGTCTTTCGAGACATATGGACAGTATACCTATGTTTTAAGGAACATATGAATAGTTTACCTAGGTTTCTTCGGGACCTATGGACAGTTACCGAGGATCTTTATGACCTATGGATAGTTACCGAGGATCTTTATGATCTCTGGATAGTTACCGAGGATCTTATGGCCTCTGGATAGTTACCGAGGATCTTTATGACCTCTGGATAGGTCCTTCGGAACATTCATTGAGCTGTGGTGACAGCATACGTGTGCACAACCTCATAATACTCGTATACCTTGGGTTCTCAATAGTGTATATGAGCTTAAATTTGTATCTCTGGAGGTGTATTACCTAGTCGAAGATATCGCCTAAACACCCGAATCGGGCTGCTAGGTAGGCCTCAATCCATGGGAGGATGCACATGCCATTTTGCAGTCAAACGTCTTTATGCTCGTCCATTGCTTGCACTTATTATATACAATGAGAGACGCCATATAAACAAATTTGGCTTTGTTTGCCATGAACCCCTTGACAAAGATGCCATTGACCCTGGTGCTAAGAAAATTCCATATATTTCCAATGAGATTCAACAACAAACAAGTCCATGATCTATTTGGGTATTCCTGAAGAAAACGTGTTGGAGAAACACATAGAGTATGTTCAACGATATGGTGGTTCAGAGTTATCGTTTTCTTGTGTGTCGCAACTTATCGGTAGTGAATATTGGAAGTCTTAGATAACAAAAATAATTTACATCTTTTTATTATTATGAATATATGAATAATTTCCACAATGTAAACATTTTAAATATTAATGTAAAATTTTAATATATTTTTTCATAATTATGTAAAATTTAATATTAATTAAAATTAAAATAATACATGATATATTTAAATACTCAAGTAATATATTATCAACAAATAGAATTTTTATATAAATAATTTTTATTTAAATATTTAGAATTTCACTTGTTAAAAAAACAAATATAGAACAAGGATAATTTGGTAAAATATAC